ATTTTAAGCTATGAATTTTTAAATGTTCATTTATTCATATGTGTGGTTTTAATGTGTTTTAAGCTTCGATCTTTGTTTTTTAATATATGTATTTTAATGGTCTCATGTTTTATATATGTATTTCAACCGTGTTGTACCTTGTGTTGAGCTGTGAGAAGAGGCACATCGCAAATTATTATTATTATTTTACTGACACAAAAACACAGTAGGACACAGCAAATGAGATATATATGCTGGATTTCATATCACCAGTTGAACACTTCCCAAGAATTTAGGACTGTGTGATATATTTTTCGAATGATGCATGCAGATCCAAGAAAGGTGGCCTTTTGCAGTTCACAGGTTTTGATTTTGTCAATGTTTATTGTTTCCAAACGCCGGCTGAGATTTTTTGGCACAGCACCCAGTGTGTCGATTACCACTTGGATCACCTGTACTGGTTTATGCCAGGGCCTTTGCAGTTCAATTTTGAGGTCTTGATAATGGCTGAGTTTTTCCTGTTGTTTTCATCAATTCAACTGTCACCTGGTATGGTGGCATCAATAATCCAAATTATTATTATTATTATTATTATTATTATTATTATTATTATTATTATTATTATTTGATACACAAGATTACATACCAAACAAGATCACTATGCTGGCTTTTGTATTTAATCACATGTCAGATACTTCCCAAGTATCTGACGTTGTTGTTGTTGTTGTTGTTATATGCTCTTATGCAGACACTGTGATTATCAGATTCAAGCTACTCTCAACACAAAAGCGTTGGAGTTTCAGATGACCTTTGGCTGAAGTCAAGTATTTTAAAAAGGGGAAATCCAGGTCACAACCTCTTAGCATGCTTGCCACAGATGCAGGCAAAATGTCAGGAGATAGTGCTTCTAGAACATGGCCATAAAGCCCAAAAAACTGACAACAACCCAGTGACTCCAGCCATGAAAGCCTTTGACAATACATGGAAAATCTAGGTCCTTTGCAATATTTCATAAGTACATCAGCTGAAACTTCATCTGTAGTGTTTTGGCAGATATAATCAAAATCTGAAAGGACATGTTTTCATTTATTTCAATACTGTAATTAGGGGCATCAGAAGCTTACTTATGCTGACCATTCAACTATCTAAGTCAGTATTGTCACCACAAATTGTTAGTGTTTCTTTAGAACTTTGAGAAGATTTCTAGAATTCTCAAGCACTCACCAGAAAGCCCAATCTATATAAATAAAAATGTAATGTTCGTTTGTGGGATTAACAGGACTCAAAAACCACTGGGCGAATTGACTCCAAATTTGGACAGCATACACCTAACAACCCAATGTATGTCCTTCACTCATTTTTTTTTATTTTGTCATTTGGGAGTAGTAGTTCTTGGGATTTACAGTTCACCTACAATCAAAGAGCATTCTGAACTCCACCAATGATGAAATTGAACCGAAGGTGACACACAGAACTCCCATGACCAACAGAAAACACTAGAAGGGTTTGGTGGGCATTGACCTTGAGTTTGGGAGTTGTAGTTCACCTATGCCCAGAGACCACTGTGGACTCAAACAATGATGGATCTGGACCAAACTTGGAATAAATATTCCATATGCCCAAATATGAACACAGATGGAGTTTGGGGAGAATAGACCTTGACATTTGGGAGTTGCAGTTACTGGGATTTATAGTTCATCTACAATCAGAGCGTTCTGAACCCTACCAATGATAGAATTGGGCCAAACCTCCCACACAGAACATCCATGACCAACAGAAAACACTGTGTTTTCTGATGGTCTTTGGCAACCCTTGTGACCCCCCCGCCCAGAGGTCCCAACCCCCAAGTAGAGAAATAGTGCCTTAAGGCCATCCAATCCACCTCCCTTCACCAAAGCAAGAAAACATAATCAAAGACCAACTGATAAAGAGCCATTCAGCCATAGATATAGATAAATATGATTCACACACACATATACATATATGACAGATATAACATCATCGATCTGAAGGGACCCCTAAAGAAGGACAATAATATGGTGCATGTTCCAGAGTAGGCAAACCAGACAATCTCTACATCAACACTGACAAAGAAACAAGAAGTACTGTTTACCCACAAGCATAAAGAAATTCCATATATTAGAAACCAACACTTTTTCTTTACTTTATTTTTGAGATCACCAGACTGGGCCACAGCAACGCATGGCAGAGGACGGCTAGTGTAGAAATAAATAGTTCATTGAAAAAGCACACACAGTAAAAGAGTAAAAAATCCAAATTGGTGAGATAAACGGAGTCTCAAAAACCAGAGATAAATCTCCAATGCAGAGTTTAAAACATGAACCTAAATCCAAAAAACAGGGTAAAATCATGAGCTTGAATAATCCAAAGACGAGGAATAAATCATCCACTTAAGTGATCCAAGAATCAAAGAACAATACATGAGCTTTTGTTCAAGGAAAAATTGCCAAGACTTAAAGCAAAACTTGACTAAGACATGACTTGAAGCAGGAACCAAGGTAAGAGTTCCTTGATCTATGTACTAAGTTTCTTAATCTAAAAACTGAAAGCAGATTTTCCTCCTTATTAAGAACAGCAATGCATGAAAGCATTCCTTCGGCCCTGAGTAGATTCTCTTAGCTGCTTTTTCCCATCGCTTGACTTTCACCTCAAATTCTTCCCCCGCAGAAGCAGTCACGATTCCCTGCCTAATCTCTCTTCCTCCCTTCTCTGCCTATCAGCCTGCAAAACAGTTTTGTTTTCACAGAGAGTCCACCAAAAACCCCTCCGGTCTCCCAACCAGGGAATTGCCATCCTGGGTGGTTGGAGGTTTTTCCAGGCTATATGGCCATATTCTAGAGGCATTCTCTTCTGATGCTTTGCTTGCACCTATGGCAAGCATCCTCAGAGGTAGTGAGGTCTGTTGGAATTAGGAAAATTGGGTTTATATATCTGTGGAATGTCCAGGGTGGGACAAAGAATTCTTGTCTGTTGGAGGTAGCTGTGAATGTTTCAACTGACCACCTTGATTAGCATTTGATGGCCTGGCAGTTTGTTAGTGTGGCTTGTTAGTGCCTGGGGAAATCTTTAGTTGAGAGTTGATAGCTGTCCCTGATTATTTCTTCTCTGTTTTGCTGTTATAATTTTAGAGTTTTTTAATACTGGTAGCCAGATTTTGTTCATTTTTATAGTTTCCTCCTTTCTGTTGAAATTGTCCACATGCTTATGGATTTCAGTGGCTTCTCTGTGTAGTCTGACATGGTGGTTGTTAGAGTGGTCCAGCATTTCTGTGTTCTCAAATAATATGCTGTGTCCAGGTTGGTTCATCAGGTGCTTTGCTATGGCTGACTTCTCTAGTTGAAGTAGTCTGCAATGCATTTCATGTTCCTTGATTCGTGTTTGGGTGCTGCATTTGGTGGTCCCTATGTAGACTTGTTCACAGCTGCATGGTATACAGTAGACTCCTGCAGAAGTGAGAGGATTCCTCTTGTCCTTTGCTGAACGTAGCATTTGTTGGATTTTCTTGGTGAGTCTGTAGATAGTTTGTATGTTGTGTTTCCTCATCAGCTTCCCAATTCAGTCTGTGGTTCTGTTGATATGTGGCAAGAACACTTTTCCTCTGGGTGGATCTTTGTCTTTACTCCCATGGCTTGTTCTTGGTCTTGCAGCTCTTCTGATGTCTGAGGTGGAGTATCCATTGGACTGTAAAACCCAGTTTAGGTGGTTCAGTTCATCTTGGAGGAGGTGGGGCTCGCAGATTCTTTTTACACAGTCTGCCAAGGCTTTAATGGAGCTTCTTTTTTGACTTGGGTGATGTTTGGAGTTTTTATGTAGATATCTATCTGTATGTGTAGGTTTTTTAAAAACTGTGTGACCCAATTGTTGATCTGGTTTGCGGATGACTAGGACATCTAGAAAAGGCCGTTTTCCTTCATTTTCTTTTTCCATGGTGAAGTGGATGTTTGGGTGGATGCTGTTAAGATGGTCCAGGAACCTGTTTAGTTCTTCTTCTCCATGGCTCCAAATGGTTAAAGTGTCATCCACATATCTGAACCACATAGCGGGCTTTTTTGTTGCTGTTTCCGGGGCTTGTTTTTCAAGGTGTTCCATTTAGAAATTTGCTATGACTGGGCTGAGAGGGCTCCCCATAGAATTCATTGTCCCACTGAAAGTAGTTGGTGGTGAGGCAATGGTGAAACAGAAGTTCTTCTGGGAACTTCTGGTTGATTAGTGCAATGGTGTCTGCTACAGGGACCATGGTAAATAGAGACACCACATCGAAGCTGATCAGTTTGTCATTGGTATTTAGCTAGAGATTGCTGATTTTTTCTATGAAGTGGACTGAGTCCTTGATATAGTGCGTAGTGAGCTCAATATGAGTTTGTAACTGTGCATCCAGAAATTTTGCTAAGACATACATGGGAGATCCAGTGGCATTCACAATGGGTCTGAGTGGGGTGAAGTCCTTGTGGATTTTTGGGAGTCCATAAAGCCTAGGTGGAAAAGGGCTTCCTGTTCCAACATTCCCTCTGTCTGAACACCTTCAGAAACATTAGGGCTTGCAGATCCTGCACCTCCAGACCCCTCATCATCATCCTCAGCTGGCTGCACTGTATCAAACACCTCCACATCATCCTCAGCTGGTTGAGCTACAACACTAGCAGCAAAATAGGATTATCTAAAACAGGAGTCTTCAAACTTTTTAAACAGTGGGCCAGTTCATGGTCCCTCAGACTGTTGGTGGGGCAGACTATTGTTTGAAAAAAACATGAAAAAAATCCTATGCGCACTGCACATACCTTATTTTTAGTGCAAACAAACATGAAAGAACAATACAAAAATAAAAATTGCAAAAAATTCTTGCAAAACTGCTGTGCCCTGGCTCCCACCTTGCATCAAGGTAAGCCTTTTCCTCAGAGAAGAGAGCCACCTTTGAGGGAGAAAGAGAAGCAACAGTGCTAGCCTCCAAAACTGAGAAAAGAAAAGGGGAAACAAAGGCTGGCAGCAGGAGCAACCAGCACCTGCGCTGGATCTCCAGATAAACCATGACTCCCTCTGCCATGTCTTCCAGCCCCATTGTGCCAACAGCAAAAGCGATACGATCCATGCTGCATGCTGTGAGTGGTGCTGCTTGGAGACCAGAGAAACATCCTCCATGACCTCCTCCCTTTCAGCAACCTTATGGATGGGGGCGAGAAAGTGCGGGAGGAGGAGGAGATGAGGCATGCATGGTGGTGGGTGTCTTGTGTGAGAGCAGCCACAGGCAGCCAGTGAACTATGCCTTCCTCCATGAAACATGCACACGTGGTTCTACTACTGAGCTTAAGAGAAGCAAGGCTATGCTAGAGTGTAGGGAAACCTTAGGGCAGGGTCTGGGAAAGTGACCTAGGGGCCAGATTCGGCATATGGGCCATAGTTTAAGGATCCCTGATCTAAAGCATATATGTATTCAGAACTCCATATTATCTGACATTTCACTTATGAAAATTGGGATGTAACCAACATCAATGTCTGCTCAAGATATCAAAAGTTAGTAAAAACCTACAAGCTAAGAGAAGGGTCAAGTTTGCTTTTTTTTCCTGAAGCTACGGAGAAGGATAAGAAACCACCCTCTTCTCTCCTCTCTTCTCCCTCTTTCTGACCCATTTGAGTACATCATTTCTATTGTTGATGTACATAGTGGTAATTTTTTTTATTTTAAAATATTTTCTGGCCAAACCAGGACAGCTGGAAGGTCTAAAACTGTCTGCTAGTTTCTCGTGAAAATGCATTCCCCCGGAAGATATTCTGAATTTATCCAAGCCAGGCAAATATATATAGAAAGCATCCCTTTTGAAACTCTGAAAATAGGAAAGGTTTAATCTGAAAGCGTAACCAAGAGGACATAAGAACACACACAAAACTTCAACTTTTTAGCAAGAATGCTTCACAAATCCATGTGAATAGGTCAAATGATCAGCAGTCCATATGAGAACAGAAAGCAACATCTTTATCTCATGCATTTTATTGTTATTGTGTCCCTTCAAGTTGTTTCCAACTTATGGTGGTATAGTGATTTGTGTACTGGACTATGACTGGAGAACAGGATTCAAATCCCCATTCAACCAGGGAATCCACTGTGTTGCCTTGGACAAATTACACTCTGGACCTCATCATACTTAGTGAAATCAGTGTCCTAGAACACTTCCATGTCATCTTCAGGGTAGAAGCCCACACCAGCCATCACACAATATTGTGTGGCTTCTGTCAGAGTCATCCTTCAAGTAGGGTGAAAGCATCATCAAATGCTTTCCCCCCAACACGTGAGGCTTTCTATGTTGTGCTGGCTTCAATGGAGCCAGTATGGGGTCTCATTGGGAGGGCAACACTTTTCCCATGTGATAGACAAAATGTCATTTAAAGGGAACTGCCCCTCTCTTTTCTCTCAGATGCCAAGCAAAGGCAATTTTTGAATCCAGGAATGAATTGTACAAAAAAAAAAAACCCTGGAATATGACACTTCTTAGATACTGTTCTGAATTTTGAAGTACATAATACAAATTGGATCAACATGAAAAAAGCATTTTAAATTAAATTCTCCCCCTTTTTATCTAAAATACAAAATCAACACTGGGCAAAAGCATACCACTAGCAATGATCAAAATGACTTCATTTGAGCTCACCCTGTGAATTTAAACTGACAATGAGATATAGTTAAGCCTGAAGTGGCCCAGGCTCCAATCAATTAGATTACTAAGCAGAAGGAAACTGTTGGGAAATTACTGGGATGTTTGCTGGTCGGAAGCTTCTTAAAATAGTAATTGTTGAAAAGATTGTTCAAACTTTTAAGCAAGAATGCATCACAAATCCATGTAAATAGGTTATATCAGAACAATATTTGCCAGCCTCATTGCCATCATCATCACCATCATTGTTACTAGTAGTAGCAATAACTGCAGTGATCATAATAGTATTACTACAAATAGTGGTAATTGTAGTAACAGAGTAACTATTCCATTGTTTCTACTAACATGTCACTAGCAATTTGATCTTTTAGGATTCAGTTTACCATAGCTTCCTGTAAAACAAAACCATGTAGCACATCGTGCTGACAGAGAGAGAGAAAAGGAGGGGTGATTATTCAGTGGATGGATAAAGTGTTCACCTCTGCACTATCTGAAAATGTGCCAGTTCCTTGGTGTATGAAATGGAAAGCTGCAGTAGGTTATAAAAATGTGATGGATGATTTGGATGGCTATATTCAGCTGTAAGCAATAAGTGCTGAGATCAGCAAAAATGTCTAAAGGCAAAACGCAAGTGATTTACTAGCAATTTAAAGCACATGAGATTTGTAATGCATGAGGCCCTCAGGCCCATCACTTCTTTTCAAGTAATGGGAAACAATATTTCGGTGGAAAATTGCAGGTTTATTTTCAACTTTGTGCTATAAACTATAACAGCACCCTGAAATGAGGGTGTTTCCCTCTTCATAAAGTTCTGTGCGTAAGTTATTCAAATATCCAGCCTATTTTATTATAAGTACAATACAATACGACTGGCGAGACTGTTTTTATTATTTATTGTTTTAATGATTGCTTTTGTACTGTCTAATTATGAATTATGCTTAATTGTTATTTTATTATTGTGGTTGTTATGGATTGGCATCGCGTCAGTGTCCAATGTATGGCATTGAAGTTTTGCCAGTTATGTGTAAACCAGTACAGAAATACTGTAAATAAATAATAAATAAATATTTTTCACACTTAAGTCTGATCTGATTTACTGTACATGTTACCTATGAAAATCCAAGTGATCAAGCATGCTTTTTTTGTTGTTGTGAGCTTTTAGATGTTGCACAGCCCTGTGATTGTTTAGTTCACGGAAACTGTTAGATTCAAATGACAAAACTCAGGTTCAAAGTTCTACTTATTCAGCGAGCTGGTAATTGGGAATATATCTCTTAGTTCATTCAAAGCTTTCTTGGCTACTAATTCATTTCTGGGCACACTTCAAAATGCTGGCAATGACCAGTAAAGCTCTATCCTGGTGATTCCCAAACTCTAATCTTCCATCATTAGCCAAGGCAGTTGAAGCTTCTGGGAGTTGGATTCCAAAAATCTGGAAGACAAGTGTTTTGAGACTTACTGGGTCAGTGTTTCCAAACTCTGGTCTTCCAAGTGCTTTTGACTTCAGGTCCCAGAATTGCTGATCATTGGTCAATGGAACTGAGTTGATGTCCAAAACACCTGGAGGGCTAGAGTTTGAGAAATATTCCTCTATATAGTTTGGATCCATACTATCTGAAATACCATTCTTTTCATGTTTTGAGATTCTCACAGAGGATTTTATCTCAGTCCCAGAACTTTCACAGACTCATCCAATGAAGAGACAAAAGAGGGTTGCCTTGCCAGACTGCAAAGTTTTTCCATAGCAGGCTAGCCTTCCAGTGGCAGATAATCTATTTATTCAAACATGCTTTGGGCAATTAACTGGTTATAGAGAAATGTCTCTCTATGTTGTGTTTGAGTGTGATATATATACTTTTATTCTCATTGTTATGTTTTAATCACCTTTATATTGTTTTGAATTAGAGGTCTTTTAAAAAGTACTGCTTGTTTATTTAGTTTTTAAATAGCTTTTATTTACAGATGAGAGAACAGATGGATTTCTGGAAGGCTCAATTAGAATTTAGTCACAGAAAATGTGAAAGAGATTGGAAGTCACTTACATCTTTGTGTTATTTCTTTTTCTTCTCACCTCTCTTTTTCTCTTTTTTAATTCTTTTTAATTTTCTGTTGTAGAGTGTTGAATGTCTTTTTGACATATTTTTATTCAGTATTATACAACCTTGACAAAAATATTACCAAAAAAAATAGTTTTTCACTCAATATAAAGAGAGCCATCTTGTCTCTTATGTTGGGAGAACACTGAAGTACAAATTAAATAAATGAATAAGCATGAAGTTCACAGAATATTTTGAAACAATCACTGTCTTTCATCCTAACCTCATAGGGTTGTTGTGTTTGGACAAAGTGGGGGAGAAAAAGAACACTATATGCTGCATTAAGCTTCTTTGCAGACAGATGGTAAATAAGCAGAGTAGAAAATGACTCTTGCTATGCTTTGGTAATGTGTAAAGGGCACCTTCATCAATGAAGGTTGATTTGTATGAGCTAAATACCAGCATTTTGCTTCAATGTCATCTGTCCTGTCATGTGTAAGTTGGACCAAAATGTGACTCTTGCCCCTTTTAAACATTGATAGTGAGGTTATCTTGGGAAGAGATGGGGAAATAAATCATCTGCCAGTATTTCTGATATTTGATGTTTGTTGTATTTGTTGCAAATTACCCTTAGCGCATAGTAAAAATGGATTTATTTCTCTATGAATATTGCTGAAAGGGAATTGTGTTTCTGTCATTAAGAATCCTTCCCCCTGCTGTCAAAACAGCATGTGCACATTTTAAAAAGACTTGATCTAAAGAGGAATTGAATCTTTATTATTTCCTAGGTAAATGCTAGCTCAGTTGTTAAGTTGTCTTAAAGTTTATTCAAAATATCAAACGTTAGGTTTCCTGAAAATCCTCAGAATTTTCAGGAAAAATAACTGTGTGGTTTTGTATTGTTTGTGTAAGGTTATGTTCTGCAAAGTAAATAAATATCTGTTTTTCACACATTTATTTTATATCAAGTGACTGTATAACCAGAGGCATAGCAGAAGCTAGAAAGAATTTACAGATCTGGAAATTTGGAAAGAATTTATTTTTTGTAAGTTGTCAAAATCTGAAGTTAGTGTAAACATATATCCGTGAAGTTTGCTCAAGGGTCTCTTTGCACTCCATGCATTTCCGTGTTGAAAACATTTCTATAGGAAACATTGAGAACTACACATAGGCATGACTGATTATACACATACTATTTCATTGTGTATATTTAGTGTACATACACAGAGGTCCCACAATCATTTGCAGTTTCCATGGATTTTCAAACAGTGGAACAGGCACACATGCAATTCTCACTTGGGATCATAGACTTAATACTTCTTGGATGTGTAATTTATGCTATCGTATTTAATATATTTGCATTCTGTCTGCTCTGCAACCAGCTCTAGGCAGTTTCAAATAAATGA